CACTTGCTAGTTTTCCAGTGTCCATGTTAGTTGTAGTACATAATGTAAGAGGGCAGGAGTGATTATGCTGTTTAAAGCATTATGTAACGGTGCATCAAAATTGGCCAAAACGTTGTTTGGTGCACTTTTTCTGCGTAATGTCTGAACATCCGTCAGCTTTGTTGCCTTGTTTCCTGTATGGTGTCTGTATTTTTGCCAACTTTGCTGTCTAGTAAGATTTATATGGATTTTCTATATTCTATATCAGAAACCAGCCGAACTTAGACAGTTTCCGTCATCATTTTTCGCTGGGCACAGCACAGAAACGCGTATAGATTTAGCCAAAGGGATATTTGCGAATAGCTAGTTAGAAACCAACCTGTAGCCTAACAAGGTATACATTAAAAAAAATCAGCGAAATCTCACCTAAAACTCATTGAAAATTGTCCATAACCCATGTGTTCGCTCGTCACTGCAGCCCAGGAATGGATTTGAAGAAGCATGCTCTACTGTGAAGTGCAGTGCGGGGTCTCGATGTCGTGTAGATTGCACCACAGGAGAGCCGGTCTGCGTAGGTTTGTATAAGGGATATAACACACTTGACTAAGCAAAGTACATGTAAATCTGGAATTTTGTCTTATCTTCAGACAAAAGTATAAAAGATTTGGTCTAATATCACTCATATATATATATATATATATATATATATATATATATATATATATATATATATATATCGCTACCTTTCGGTAGACAGCAGATGTTCACATACACATGTAAAAAAAAGCCCCTTGAGAACTGAACCGACGAGTGTTTTATGTAAAGTTCATAACCATAATACTTTGTGTAATAGGGAGTTCAGCGTACTGTGATGAGACTCCAGTTTCCAATATCGTCTACGCTGGTTGGGGTGGAGGAATTAATGCGGTGAATGGAGGCGGACCAGTAAGTAAACTCAAAAACATTTTCCCACTAAGGAACAACATAAAATCTTTACTACTGAAAATCTTTGAAACAGCTCCAGGCGTTCATTCAAACTGCTATTTTCTGTATGGAATCTATAGCCAATATGATTACGTTTTCCTCAGCTTTGTGCAACGCAATTTTTTTTATCTGTAGATGAAAATACCTAACATGTAACATGTAACTAACCATATATATGACGAATTTGCGCTTTTATCCCATTACGCCCCCCCCCAAAAAAAAGAAGGCTTAGCTTTTTTTCAAAAGCTATGTGTAATAGTAAAATGTTCCTTACATGAGTACATGCACGCAATATAATTACAGAGTTTCACTTACAACAAGCTACAGGACAGTACCGGATTGAGAGTCGAATTTAGCGGATCAATTCGAACCGCCTTAGATTGCAATAGTTGTGGCTCTATGGTCTACTTCCTTATAAACGGTGCAAGTTGCACAAGTCCTTACAATATAGCGTTTACGGAACAACACACTACGAGACGCAACAGAATGGAACATGGATCACGTAAGTGTGCGGACATTTTTGTGCCATCATAGTGAAATGTTAAAGGGCCAAAAAATGGCAAAAAATGAAATTTCCCTGGAGTAAACAACAATTTTCCCGTACTTACCAATGGTTAATGAATCCATTTTTACATTCAAAGTTAGTCCCTGTTTTTTTCTTAAAAGTTCGTTTTTTTAAATAATCTCTTAAGAGATTATAACAGAGTATAGCGATCAGTGGAGGTCATGTGGTCTAAAGACAAGCTCAGATATCAGAATAATAGCTATAACTGCCGTTTTTCGTGTACAACAGAATATATTGTATTTCTATGAGTTGTTCACAATGTTTTGATTGTGAAATATAGATCTCATACGAAGAGTTATTATCCCTTTAATGTAGATTTTATTATATTATCGGTTCGTGCCATTTTGAATGGTATTTTGTTATGCATTTGCTATGTAATTTACATGTACCACTAGTTCATGTATTTTAATGTCATTCTATATTACACTAATTTGCATTTATGTTTTGTCATATTACGTTAAATTATATATGTTGTGTTCATACTGTCATGACAACGTATGGACCGGAGTCGAAATAAGCTGTAATATTCTAAAATATTTCATATATTTCAGTGACATTGTAACGAATACCTCACGTCGCTTATTGATACATTTGATTCCAGTGTTTTGCAACAGATAAAAGTCGCTCAAATTAAATACCACCCCTTGAACTATATATATATATATATATATATATATATATATATATATATATATATATATATATATATATATATTCATTCGTCAAAAAAAAAAAAAAAAAAAAAAAACAGATTGATTGACTACAGCCGTTGAATTTATTGTATCTGAAAGATTTTGAAAAAAAAAAGTTTATTAAAAGGTGCTGCATATTTTTAAAAGTATATTTGGCTACAATATATCTGTTTTGACTCGTTCCATTTTTAATTAATCAGTACAGTTTTATTTGTTCCATTTTACTCATTAACTTTTATAAGCGATCAGAATAGAAACAATGCCTCTCGTCATCACACAATACACACGCATACACACACACGCACGCACGCACGCACGCACGCACGCACGCACACACACACACACACACCTATAACCAGCAAAATGTTATACGTTTGTTACTACGTGTTTAATCTAAATTGTTTTTGATACATCTGTTTCTAGTGTCTGGCGTCTGTTGGAAGATTCCTGCTGGCATTGTCACCATTCAGATATATGTAAGGAACATAACCGGGGAGTCAAAAGCAAGGATCGGTTGGAGATCATTCTCTTACTTCAAATTCGAGGAAATAGAAGCAAATCCTGGACAATGTTAGTATCTTAGTTATCATGCTATTTAAACAAACGGATTCGTTGTTTAGGCGCATAATTATAGAGAAAATCGCCTGTGCAATTTCTCACTAAAGTAAATAAATAAATAAATAAATAAATAAATAAATAAATAAATGTATTGTGTAATCAAATAAGATGCATATACAAGGTAATAAAGGATACAACAAGATTACCGGTTGTTAGACCCGTCCTTCAACCGTTTAAGTCTGCAGGCACTGCCTTATATAGCAATTTTATGATTCTTAACTTAATATAAAAGATGTTGTTTGTTGCACTTCATTTCGGGGTCCGCTACCATTAGTACATGTAAGATATAATTTGAAGACTACATGCAATAAGTTAACAGCCACTATTACCCCAATGCCAGTATAGGGGTTATATGCATGTTGCAAAGTCGGGGTATGTACCTTTGTCAATTTTAGATTTTGTGGGAGGACGTTTCCCAAAGAGTTCTGGAAACGTAGCACTTGCAGGTGGCGTAACAATTAGAAACCACATGGTTACTTCTGCAGACTCATTCCTTATTCTAACATAGCGAATTTGACAGAGTACAAGGGAATTATTTACAGTGTTTTTTCCCGCATAATTCATTTAGTAAGCCTTTAAAAATGGTAAATCTTTAAACAGTGGTGTACCTGTAAAGCGTTTGCAGGATGCCATATAACATTGTCGAACTAGAGAATGTTTGTGTTCTAGTGACTGTAGCAGTTGTGTATAATTCGTTATTTTGTGGCACTTTTTGTGTTGAATGCCTCAAAAAACGATAAAATTTTATTTCGTATTTTACTGGAGACTTCTATGGTACCCTAATTGCAAATTATCACTTTAATAAGATATATAGTATCATCGCACGCAATGTTATGTACAATTCTGCTTTTCAGCACAGTGTGAGACCCTGACACTTTTCAACATTAAGGAATTTGTGGTGGTGCAGGATATTTTCGTAAAAGATGAAAACATCTACTTGGTAATCATTATTCATAACCTCTCCCTGTCTTCATCAGCAACATTAATAATAATAATAATAATAATACACTTATTGAAATCATAGCAACCATATATATACAAAATTCTATTTAAAATTATCTTAAAACGTTGAGCTCATAATGTATAAGCACTGGTCTCTGAAACTAGAAAAATAAACGGAATTACTTTGTGTTGCAGAAACTTTCAGTTTTAATGGTTATATTAGCACTATGAAACAATATTGATTAGTGCTTATCCATGCGGCGTTTTCCGAATGTGACTCAGTTTGCGTTTACCGGGGTATGCCTATATGGTGATTAAGTCAGAAAAAATCAAAGTAAATCAAGAAATGAGAGTCTTTTAATTTTGTCTTTTTTATGCAGTGTTGCAATTTCTTGCGTTCCTTTTATATTTTAATATGAAAACACTCAGTGTAGTATACTAAGCAAACAAAAAACGCCTCTGTAATGAAGACCTCTTATTTTTATCATGTACCGCATTTCAGAGTAAAACATACTTAAAACGAAGCTCGAACACGGCCCTGGCAGTCTACTGGACGGGAAGTCTACGTGAAGTCGGAGCAAACTGTGCCAGATGGTACTTCACGTTCAATGGTGAAGAGTGCTCCGATCCCGGTACGATAGATGGCGCTTTGTACATGGCAAATGACTTGCATAATGCCATTTTCAAGACTTTTGAGTGTAAGTAGGAAACCTTCACACTTTAGAAAACAGTGGTATAGGACTACACAAATATTTATCTCAGCAAGTAAGTGACATCGATAAACTGAATAATATTCTCATCTCCAAATCCCACAGAAAGTAAAGGAATTACGTCCGATCTAAATAAAATAAATTATTCAGTTCTATTACCCGTTTTTACTGAACTTAATGTGTCCTTATTACGACGTTTCCTCTCCCTGTTGGAGACATCAGCCGGTCTCCTGAGAATACTGTTTTCAGTCTTGTTATGTAACCATCCATATTCTAAAGTCTCCGAGCTAAGTCCTTTTCTTTTTTATTCTTATTTGCACTTCATATATTTGTATAATCTTTTGGTCGCTATGATTAAAATGGAATTATTTTTGTTATATAAATAAAATTGAATGAGGCAAAACGGCGAATGATTTGATCATTTGTGTAAATGTGATTTTCGATCTTACCCGTGCGAATTTACATTTCACGAAATTGTATTTGTTTGTAGTTTCTGGTGTTTGCAAAGGAATCCCCATAGGGGCGGTTAATATATCGTTCCACTGCGGAAACTGCCCTTGGAATATAAGCAATGGTAACCCGTCCACTGGGTGGTATGTAGCATCAAGGTTAAGGGTGGAAGAAACCCGGCTGGGTTTGGATATAAATGCACGTGAGTGACACATTATTACATACGGTATTAGTTTTGCTGCACTTTCCCCATAATGGTCGGTTTATAGATATTCTGTATTACCAATATTTCGACAATTGAATTAACGGACTTTTATTTACCAACAGCTCCCAGATTGGATTTTGGAGAGGGAAATAAGGGGGACTTAAACTCTAAAAATACACTAGCGATTTAATTGGGGCATACTGGTACATGTATGACAGGGGTTTATTGCATAAAACAGCAAACAATTGTTTTATTAATAAAGGGCTAGTTTAAGGAAAATGAGTGGGACAGTGGTTTTGCCTAGATTCTCTCGCTTAAATACGTTTAATAAGATTAAAAGAGACGAAAGAGAAGTACGGCGTAGAACACATCTGACCGCTGTTAGCATGAATTTACGTGTACACCTGTACATTTTATTAAGGTTTGATGGTGTTACGTGTACCTTGCTACATTTAAAAATTGCCTTTTTCTGCCAAATAAGAACTCTTGATTACTAAGTACGGCTGATAAGGATACAAACGTCCCGCATTTATTAAAGAAAGTATATATCCTGAATATTAAACCAGTTATAGAATATTTCACATAAACTCTTATTTCTTAGTCTCAGACCACACGAGAAAAACTGCTACTCGAATCCCAATCTTCAACCGGGAATATTGGTGGTGGCCAGCTCAAAACATTAGTATGGACGTTGGAACACTTTATGTAAGTCACTTTATATATATATATATATATATATATATATATATATATATTTCAGACAAGTAAACACGTTCTTCCGTTACATGAAAGAACTTTGATCATATTGTTTGATTAAGGACTGCGGATCCATGGTTACGATAAGGGGGGGGGGGGTTAAAAAAGGAAACAGTACAGGGGTAGTTGAGCACAGTTTTCTTATAATATGTAGGGAACGATGAGATATAATATAGATGAACAAGTTAGAGCATCTTTCTTTTTCGTGGATCCTCTTCTTCATAGTGCACGATTGCGGGACTATGCTCTATTTGTTTTACATATATTTTAGACTGTGACGTACAGCAAGAAGTTCGGCGCCAGCGGGTTAAATGTGCTCTGGTCAGGGAGTGCCCAAGAAATGTATGCTCCCTACGGGTGCTCACGATGGTACTTCACCTTCAACGATAGCGAATGTAGCAACCCAGGGAAAATTGAGAGTATCAAGTTAAATAGATACTATGAAAGCAATAAGGTTGTATATTATAACAGCCCATTTACAGGTATTGTTTGATAATTTCTCGTTAAAGCCGTTATTCAGTTTCTCGTTTGTTTGTTAGGTACAGTCAATTATACGCCTGCTAATATCCTTCACATAATTGGCACTGACACAGATTTGTTGACTTAAAGAAATCGTTTCACAGAATCTCAAACCTTCAGCGTTGACTTAATGTCCTTAAAGACTCTATAGGTTTATATTGAACGTACACGTTGTTCATACATGTTTAATGGTACTTCTATAGGCGAATTTTAATTTCAGTTCAAGGCACTTGCCAGGGGATATCAGCCGGGGACGTCACTGTTGCTTTGAAAGTTGGTTCTTGTGCTAACTATTCAGCACAAGAGACGTTAACATCCTGGGGAACAAAGACTTCACTTATGATAGAAGAAACATTTCACGGTTAATAGAACCCCATTGTAACTTTCCACGCAACCCGGACAAAATGGAATGGCCAGTTTACTAGAATAAATAGTCACCACATGTAGAACTAAACAGGCTGTTGTGAAAATGCTGATTTATTAAACTGAAAATGAACTAGGTTCGGCGCATTTGAATCTATTTCCTTATCTGCTTAGATAATGTGGAAGTAAACATTGCCATGTTATGAGATAATGCTGGCGACACAAAATTAATCTGGGCAAATTGCTTATCCGAACTGCTGAACAGAAACAGGGATGTTAAAGGTATTGTTTTGGGGATGTCTTTATGTTAGAGCTTAAATAAATCATACCTGTACTGTCTCTTTGACATTTCCTCCCACGTTTAACATAATATGATAAAAAGAACATAAAAGAAAAAATAGGTTTCTTCTGCTTAAGTTTACAGAGATTCGCCGCTCAATGACCAACTTAGCAGTTTTGTATAACCTTACCTTGTGTCAAAACAAAATTAATATTTAACATGTGTGTCCGTTAGCCGTACCGTGGCATACTTTCGTACATGTTAACATTGCTCCTCTCTGTCATTTGTGTACAGGGTAATCTGTTCTGACCTTATAATTCTCGCTGTCTGGCTATGTGTGTGTGCTAAGAACAATTGCTAGCCGAAATTAATGTCCTCGCTCACAAAGACGTCCAGTGTTTCCTCGTATTTCACTGACGTTTTGTTGGGAATCAGAATGGCAGTAAAACACACACATATAAAAGGAAACAGGTGTCTTATCTTTTACCCATCCTTACCTTAAATACTTTGTTATGATGTCTACAGACTACAGACCATTATTTGCTTATTTGATCCGCTTTAGGACGGTTAAACAATTACTTTTTTTAGTGAGTCAAAAATCGGACTTCATATAACGGCGGCACGAAGTAAAAAATAAATCACTCTTAAGATGTTTTTCCTGCATTTTTTTCTTTTTAAATGATTAAAACTCAGACGCAGCTGATGTATATACATCGGTGGCTGGTCAAGGGGAACGATCACCTCACTTAGCTTCCTAGGCAACCGCGACCCAACGAACAAAAATTAGATAAAAGCCAGTAACTTTTCCATCCAGGTGCACACATGTGCACATACGAGGGTAGATGACAGACATCTCAATGTTAAAAATAGAAAAATCACACCAGGAACGTCCACATCCCAAGGTACACTAAAATTCCGAAGGACCCACAAGATCCCTAAAAATAGGCTTATTATTACTCGACTGTTCAAGTCCCTACCTCTATTGATATAAGGGTAGATACAGAAAATACGATGTAAAGATTAGAATACCCCCGCAGGGACGGCCACACCCCAAGTTGCACTAAAATTCGGAGGAGCCTTTTCAAACCCCTAACCATATGTTTATTAATCCCCAAAGTTTCAAGTAGGCCATAGTGTTTACTCAAGAAATGGTTCACTAAAGCCTAAGACCAGAGTGAAATTTCTTAGCGAACAAACGGCCTTAACAATACGAATGGAATTGATGGAAAACTCATGTGTGTGAAATAGGGGCCTAAGGACAATTGCTAGCCGAAATCAATGTTCTCGCTTACAAAGACGTCAAGTGTTTCCTCGTATTTCGCTAACGTTTTGTTGGGAATCAGAATGACAGTAAAACACACACAAATAAAAGGAAACAGTTGTATTATCTTTTACCCATCCTTAATTTTAAAACTTTGTTATCATGTCTACAGACCATTATTTGTTTAATTGATCCGGTTTAGGACGGTTAAACAATTACCTTTTTAGTGAGGCAAAAATCAGACTTCATATAACGGCGGCACGAAATTAAAAAATAAAGCACTTTTGACTTAAAATGTCTTTTTCCTGCATTTGTTTTCTTTTTACATGATTAAAACTCCGACAAAGCTGATGTTTATACAACGGTGGCTGGTCAAGGGGAACGATCACCTCACTTAGCTTCCTAGGCAACCGCGACCCAACGAACAAAAATTAGATAAAAGCCAGTAACTTTTCCATCCAGGTGCACACATGTGCACATATGAGGGTACATGGCAGACATCTCGATGTTAAAAATAGCAAAATCACACCCAGGTACGTCCACACCCCAAGGTACACTAAAAATTCCGAAGGTTCCTACCTCTATTGATATAGGGGCAGATACAGAAAAAACGATTTAAAGATTAGAATACCCCTCAGGGACGGCCACACCACAAGTTGCACTAAAATTCGGAGGAGCCGTTTCAAACCCCTAACGATATGTTTATTAATCCCCAAAGTTTCAAGTAGGCCATGATGTTTACTCAAGAAATGGTTCACTAAAGCCTAAGACCAGAGTGAAATTTCTTAGCGAACAAACGGTCTTAACAATACGAATGGAATTGATGGTAAACTCATGTGTGTGAAATAGGGGCCTAAGGACAATTGCTAGCCGAAATCAATGTTCTCGCTTACAAAGACGTCAAGTGTTTCCTCGTATTTCGCTAACGTTTTGTTGGGAATCAGAATGACAGAAAAACACACACAAATAAAAGGAAACAGGTGTATTATCTTTTACCCATCCTTAATTTTAAAACTTTGTTATCATGTCTACAGACCATTATTTGTTTAATTGATCCGGTTTAGGACGGTTAAACAATTACCTTTTTTAGTGAGGCAAAAATCAGACTTCATATAACGGCGGCACGAAATTAAAAAATAAAGCACTTTTGACTTAAGATGTCTTTTTCCTGCATTTGTTTTCTTTTTAAATGATTAAAACTCCGACAAAGCTGATGTTTATACAACGGTGGCTGGTCAAGGGGAACGATCACCTCACTTAGCTTCCTAGGCAACCGCGACCCAACGAACAAAAATTAGATAAAAGCCAGTAACTTTTCCATCCAGGTGCACACATGTGCACATATGAGGGTAGATGACAGACATCTCGATGTTAAAAATTGCAAAATCACACCCAGGAACGTCCACATCCCAAGGTACACTAAAATTCCGAAGGACCCACAAGATCCCTAAAAATAGGCTTATTATTACTCGACTGTTCAAGTCCCTACCTCTATTGATATAGGGGTAGATACAGAAAATACGATGTAAAGATTAGAATACCCCCGCAGGGACGGCCACACCCCAAGTTGCACTAAAATTCGGAGGAGCCTTTTCAAACCCCTAACCATATGTTTATTAATCCCCAAAGTTTCAAGTAGGCCATGATGTTTACTCAAGAAATGGTTCACTAAAGCCTAAGACCAGAGTGAAATTTCTTAGCGGACAAACGGCCTTAACAATACGAATGGAATTGATGGAAAACTCATCAGAATTTACTCATATTCAGCTGAATGTTTATTAGATGGCCAAAAAACCGCAAAACATTAGCACCATATGTAAGAAAATAGTTAAAAATAATATTACAATAAATTACCACATGTAACAAGAGTGTACAAAAACGTTCGTATCAATTTCGCAATTGCTTACAAGTGACGTTTTTTTTCTAAGTGCGTCGATGAGTTTTCGCATTCTAGCTTTTGCATGCCCAATGGCGATTCTCTAATATCCACCGTGCGTCTGCTGTTACTGTTGCAGATATCCAATGAAGCTAGAGCTCAGGATTTTCAATCCAATCATCAACATAAGCAGTGGAAAACTGTCTGATATTTCTATTGCAAATGAGAAGCGTATTGCAATTGAATTAGAATTGAGACATACTAAATGGCTCATCTGTCAGACGAACTGCAAACCAATTGCATGGTCACCTTACTTCTGGGTACATGTAGGAGCCTGGTTCCAAAATCCTCACCAACACTCCTTAATCACGTAAACTTAATCATGTAATCTTATATTGTTCCAAATGTGGTGCTGAAATTAAAAAACTAAAGCACTTTTAAGATTTTTTTCCTGCATTTTTTTCTTTTTAAATTATTAAAACTCAGACGCAGCTGATGTTTATACATCGGTGGTTGGTCAAGGCTGGTCGCCTCAGTCAGGGAATATGAATAGATCAAAGAGCCAGCCTTTCTGCGAATACGCGCTTGAGTTAATAACTATTCTTCACTACAGTTGTTCCGTCGACTTTACATTGCTAGATAACTAATACAATAACAAATAATGCGTATTTTGGATACTGTAGTTTCATGTCAAGTATGAAGTTGTCAAATTTGTAACGGACCATACAAATGGCTTAACTAAACCCTCGAAAACTGCAGACAGAAGCAACTGCATAGGGGTTTATATGGTAGCGTATAAAAACTCGTGAGATCAAATAGATGCACCATCTAAGAAAGCTCCCACCCCTGCCGTCTTCAATACCAGATTCGGCGATCTCGTGGCTTGTGATTCTTTGATAAATCAATGTACACGTATGGGACGTTCTACCTCTGTTCATCAATTAACAACCTCGTGTCTAACTCCGCTGCGTGTTGTTATTCCAAACGGCCATCGCCATTAATTTTTCTTTTTTTTCTCTGTTGGATTTTACCTCTGCGTTTGATTGACTGACCGGTGTTATGTAATACGGGTCGGCCACAGTGCAAAAACCCGAATTCCAATATATTTTGTCTTATAATGATTAAACTGAATTGTGTGCAGGCCTTTAATATACGGGAGTTTTGTATATTTGCTCCAAACAAATCCCTTTATTGCTATATCCAACAATCTTAAAAGAGCGGCTATTCAAAACATTTCTCTTTTTTACAAAGACAACTTTCCCGATGTGTGTGATATACGAGTATGGACTACAACAGTAGTGGTATACAGTGCGTTTTTCTGGTGAATGTGCATGTTCAACTACGTCCAACAAATGCTAGTATCTGCAATTAAGTAATCTGGTAAGGTTTCTCTCAAAAATGAAAAATTGGAACATGTTGGGCGATAACTGTGTTTCAAACAAAATGTTAACATGCACGTCCCCATTTATCACAACATAACTTAAGACTTTAAATAAAATGGCTTACCTTTCGATCTCTCAATTTAATGATCACGTGAATCGAGTCTGGCTCAGACAATACTGTTGGTTCGACCTTCAAGGTCTGCTAGGTGAAAGACGTGTATCTTGGAATCTTTTCCTGTAAAACACAACAGTATATAGACTAAGTCTGTGTGCTTGCACGAACGCCAGCTTTCAATTAAGTCAATAACACAGCTTTTGAAACCATTAAACTGACTTGAAACTTTTAAAATTTAGAGTATCAGCTTTCATTTTAAAAAAAGAACGTACCTTTCTCTGACCAGAAAATGATTAACCCATGAGGCTCCACGACATCAATTTGCTTAATGCTGACCGTTCGATCAAATATTAGCCTTGGGATACAGCCCTCTATAAAAAAGTTAGACAATGATGTTAAATCAAGTCATATCTTAAAATCAAGAATAACGCAAAAGCGTGTAGCTTTATATCTAAAATTATATTTCCAAATACTATTATTATTATTGATGTGCAATCCCCCTTAATGCATAAAAAAACAATTAGTTGTCAACATATCAGTAACATTTACCACCTCCCCCGCTCTTAAGCAATCTATTTTTCACTTTGTTTTACTAAATGTTATGTCATGCCGATATCAAAATTACAGGTATGTTCCAGCGGGTTACATTCTTTATGAGTGCCTTTATTAAGAATGCGATTTGCAACAACCGTTCTTACGATTGCGTCATGAAATCGGAATTTTACTCCCAAATTCGGTGATGGCAATAAAAAACCGTGCTTCAGCTCAAAAACAGCTGTTTCGTTTATACGGCTTGATAAGGAAAAATTTATTTTTAGTCCGTCAGCAATGAACGTCGCAACAACCACATCCATCTAACGAATCCAAACTTCTCTACATTAACCTATTTTGCGATGAGATATGCTAAAACAAATAAGTAACGAATACTAAACTTTTTGGTTCAACTTACCTTCAATAACCATTGTTCCCACTTCCGTTACAATGATGAGTTTGTCACCTGCAACAAAATGGCCCTATCATATGAAGAACACCGACAAAAATGAAGTAACACAGTGTGTAACAGTTAAGGTCAAAATTTCCATTCCGTTAAATATACATGTATAACCAAGATCAGTGAATTTCAACCACCGATATGCATGGACGTCGACGTGATTCACTTAATTCAAAGCTACGTTGTTTGAATTCGAAGAGAATGGGTAGAAATACGATGGAGCACAGCTTTATGTAATAGACTAATGGGATTATTTTTATGTGTTCGCGTGTGAAATGAAGAATGTGTCATTTAAGTGGCAGACTGACTGCAAAGGTGTTCGTGTTTACTAACCCCATGAATCCCCGCATATGATCTCATTTGGAAAGCTGTGGTAAAAACACTGCGGTTCCCATGGCTGCAAAGAAAGAAAATAACATAACAAAATAAAAACGATATTCACAATGAGACAAAGGATTTGGATACAGAACGCATGCATATTTAAAAGCATTGTATCAAATAACAGAGAGAAATAAAATACGTCAGTTATGAGATGATTTGTGGGAATAAAAAGTTTTTTTAGTGGGGGGGGGGGGCGCATTTACAACACAGCTATGGCGAGGACTTTTTAAACTAAATTAAATGTAGGCCTACATGTAAGTGAATGTTCTGGCACTGTGACTTCAGGCATTTGGTGTAAATCGCACATCTGTATTAGATTGATCGGAGAAGATAACTGTTTTTTAAAGGATCCGAAACAAATAAAAAACTCTATTGCAAACAGTGATAAAGGTCTGTTATTTGCAGGTATGTGTTATTACTTCAATGAGGCTCCAATCTGTCCATTATAAACTGTCTCACATAGATCCTCAAAGATAAAATATGACAAAAAATACCTCTCTTTTCAACATCCCGGTGGTGATGAGGCTGGTGGGGGCGTCCCCCTTTAGTATAATATTTAGTTTGAGGGCCTGGCCAGCGTCGTCACCCATGCTGGTAATCCGGTATGACGTCACTGAATGCTCTGCGGTTCAACATCGTGTTCTGAAATAACAATGCATGGCATATAGAAATCAGGTTGCTTAAAAGAAAAAACACGTACTGGCTCGGATCCAACTTACGAACATCTGAATTACGCCTTCGAAGGTATTGCACGAGCAATGTAACGGTACATGCACTTGTACTGGTACATGTATATGCAACTCATCTTTTTCACTCAGCGGCTGTACATGTACACATAAATGTACGCCAGTCGTACCTTATTTAAAAAGTATGCTTTAACATTAACTGATTACTCTGTATTTTGATGGAATATTAACCACCCGCCAACTCAATAATCACCCATGGTGGTTATTAGTTAGCATAACGATGGCTCGATATCTTACTTTTCAAAAGATGTGTATTTTAATACATTAAAATGATACTCTGGCATAGAGCACAAAGTAGTTCAAATCATTTTTAAGTGTGTGCATTCGCATAACATGTGAACTTTATTAATTTTCAAATATATCCGTTAATTTTGACAAGGTTCGTATTCTAAATCTCATAGCGAAAAGCGCTTGTGGCACTGATTCATCTGAGTCTCTGCTCACTGACTACACAATCAATTTTTAAACTCGTAAGTTTATGTGGGGACACAACTTATCATTCGCCACGCTAAACTTCAATATATAGCCCCAGAGCGCTGGGGGAATATGGAACTCTGAGACTGACAAGAAACTACAAAGAAAAGGGGGACTGAGGCCGTCTTCTGGGTCTTCCGGAAGACTGTCAAATTTTCAGGTTTACATAAATATTGACGGGTATATAATGTTTTCTGTTGGAAGACGGTCAAAATGGAGGATGGAAGAACAAAGATAATTTGGAAGACTGTCAGAAAATGTCTCTGGATCCGCCCCTGTTATGTCTATTTGACTTGAATTGCTTTCAAAACATTTGCTTTTGTTGAACAAAGTGTTTGCATTGGATCATTTTGCATCTTTTTTTTTAAATATTTCATGCCGTCCGCTAAACTTAGTAAAATCGTGATGCAACATCTGGTTTTTATACCACACTAATTCTTTTCGTCCTAAACCGGGTCAATTAAGCAAACCATCGTCTTATGACTTCATACAATAACCTGTGAAATAAGAATGGGCAAAAGATGACACATCTGTTTTCTTTTGTTTTTGCTTTTTTTGTGTGGTTCCTAGCAAATATGAAAAAGACTTGGCTTCTTTCAAAGTGAGAACATTGATTTGGACAGCAATTGTTCATAACATAACATAACATAACAGACAAAGAGAATTTTAAGTCTCCAGAAGAGACAAGTAGGCACATTGTAAACACACACACACGAGAAATTATGTTATGGTACGGCTAATTGACACCCGTGTTGAATATTGGTTTTGATTTTACGTATTTGCCACTGGGTTAGGTACGCCTACATACGTAATTTAGTTGAAACTTACCGATTTAAAGGTAAAAATTCCTGGAATATTTTTTGTTTTAATTTCTGAAAGAAATTTAAAAATTTTTCACCATTCAACTTGCCTGGACATCATAACACATTTTCTTTGAATTTCTTTTTTTATTTTATTTTCATCGGCATACATGTACAAATTTGCATTTGCAACGACCAAACGTAAATTTGAGGAAATCAGGACTTTTTTACCTATCTTTCCAAAGGAAATCTATAAATTTAGGATCATACTTTGTGGTTTATCTGTGCTCTAACATTGTACATACTTTGTATTTGTTACTTACCCCTATTTAAGAAAAATAAAAAAAAACGACATTAATATTAATTATTTCAATGGTATGTAAGTTTATATATCATCTTCTCATTTTCAAAGGGAAAAATAAAAATAGAATTATTTATCTGACTGTGTTTGCAGAGAATCGGCCCTTATAAAGCTACGTATCAATTTTGTCTGGCCTAACCTTGTGCCAACGAAAAAAATATTTTAGTTTTGAATTTTTTAACACTTGTGTTCGTAAACCGCACTGCAACATGCTTTCTTACCTGTTTACATTGCACTCCTTTGTCATTTCTATATACTTTCCTGACTTTGAATTTCTCTTTGTCTGTTTTGTGTGTGCTCAAGGACAATTGCTGTCCAAAATCAGTGTTCCAGCTTTCAGGACGTCAAGTGTTTTTTGTATTCCATAACGCATTGTTAGATATTGGAATCACAGTAAATCAAAAAAAAAAAAAAAAAAAGAAAAAAAAAAAAAACAGGTGTATGATTTACTACCTGACCTTACTTCACAGGTTATATTTTGATGTGGCGAGATGATGGTTTGTTCAATCGGCCGGGTTTATGACGATTTAAAAAGAAATGTGGTATAAAATTACGCATAACGCTTTAACTAAGTATAGCGGGCGACTTGAAATAACCAAAACTAACACTCTCACAACAAATTACTGCACACATTTACTTCACTCAAGTTCCAACAAAAACAATTGCAAATGCTTTGAAACCAATTCAATTTTTATCGACTTGTGTAAAGCTTCCCGACAATTCCTGAATTATTAATGTGATCAAAATAAGGATGCATGTTGCCTATAAAAGATGCCATGATACACATTGTGGCGTAATTTTGTTCTCAATCTAATATTTTCTTATAGTGAGCCACGACCAAAACGTTGATGCACTGTATTCGTGTCTGATCTAAGGCACATGTGGTAAAGCGCTAGGCAGATCTTATGAACTGACTATCATTTTAAACCTTTGGAAAATACACCATGCGGGGCTTTTACTTATCCCTGTGGTACACAGCGTTAGGGTCCTGCATAAAAAATGTCTGCGCTGTCACTGTTGATCTGTGTGGCGGCCCCTCCCGTGAACTCAGATGCGCCAATTTTCAACAAGTTTTTACTAACTATACCGCTACCCTTATACTGGACACTGTAGAAGCGAGCACCAAGTTGGAATGTACCGGAAAATGTGGAGAAACTGAAGGTTGCGCGGCAGTTGTATTCAAGAACCAAGATCACATGTGCCATATGCTCCCTGAACCCCAAAATGTCTCGCAGTTTTCCTCCACTTCCCCAACTGGGATATGGATGGCCAATGTTAGGGACATCTCGGTGAGTAGTTTTGTTTTTTGCTTCTTTTTAATGTTAAAAACTCAGATGCACATCATGTTTATACAATAGTGACTAATATAAGGGAAAACGGAGTACACGCGCAGTTAGCTTTTTAGACGCACCCTCTCCCCCCCCAACAACAACAACAAATTGCGATTTAAAACCAGTTCATTTTCCATCACCCTATCATCTATGGCTGATGTCCATTGTCATACAGAGCAGATTTTATAAATTGTATATGACACAGATTTTGTATGCATATTATTATCAAAAAAATATTATTTGATGCGAGAAAATCTATCAGCACCTTTTTAAAAATCCATATCACTCTGGCAAATCCACAGTATGATACGCAGTGCACTTTATGTCTCATTAATCTCAATTTAATTTTTCAAAAGCGAAAAAATGAGAAAATGTATTTTAGCGATGTATATCATATTAGGTATTTTTCAAAAGCGTCTGCTGTTTTTTGTCTTTATTTTATAAAAACAGTTTCTATGGAGATAATTGACATCGTTATAAGTCTAACTAGTCCAAGAGGACTGGGAAATTTGTAAAAAAAGTTTAATACTAGACCCATGGCAAATCTACAAGTTAGTCGACTCCAAACGGTGGATAAAATTGCAGCCTGCGATTATGTTCAAAGGGATGAAGAGAAACCAATGCCCTTGTTATTAACTCCCTGTCTATAATGAGTACCATTTTGAACGACACATGAAAAACACCCCAGCGGGCAAATTATGTTGTTTTAACGTTGAAACAACAGTGAACCATAACGTTGATAATACGTTTGATAAACATTGGATTTGAAAGTTGACTCAACGTCAGATAACAACATTGTATCAACCCCAGTTGTTAGACAACATTCTTGCACGAAAAGACATTAAAATGACCTGAAATGTTTTATTTTTGGTACAAAACACAGGTACACAATTATAACGTACATTGTAAAAACATCCAAGTGCCTGCTTTGTCTGATTTTTCCAACGCTCCTAAGCATGTATTACACCTAAGCATGGTACACCCTTTTAGCCTGGATGTGTTTAGCAGTAGGACATGTTTGATGGCTAAATATATGTAGGGTATATATGTATGGCCTTTAAGTTAAAATTTCCAAGGTTTAGATTAATATATATATATATAGTTATTTTCTTATATATATATATA